AAAAGAATAGTTTTTGTTTTACAAATTAGCAGTTAAAAAGTGACAAATACCTTCAATGCTTAAACATTCTTCTGCAATGCCCATTATGTTTAAATAATACTTTTTCTGGGAACAGGAGTATGTTCCCCAGCATTTCCTTTTTTTTTTTTCCTTTCTCTTAGGAATGCCTCTGGAAGCTCTCTATCGAACTCTAAAGCTGCACTCATTTCACCAACTGCAATTTGATTATGCAAATTATTTCATGAGTAGTTTAAAATCACATTCATGTTTTCTAGTTTCAAATTATAATACGGGTGGCTTATTTTGCCTTTATGTTTCTATTCCTACTGTTTTTTATTGTTTTTTTTCCTCTGAGTTTTATTTAGTTATTTAATTATTTTAATTATTTCTTTCTTCAGCTGTTTTACTAGAGTAGTAATAATTAGGGAAAGTAAACTTTTTTGTGCAACAAAACCATGTGAAGTCTTGAACTGAGATTATTTCCCTATTTTAGTAATCGTTGCTCATGTTAAACATGGCTTAAGGCAGCCAGTGCTCTGAAGAATAGGCATTCCATGAGCTGATGTGTCTTAACTCCAGAATATTATGTGGGGTTTTATTGTTAATATTTCTCTCCTTGTGACAGTTTCTCTGTAGAACCTGGCACCACTTTAGCAGAATAACAAACATCAACCGCTGAATGTATTAATACTGTGGAAAGCAATTTAGTATTGTATTGTTGTAAATTATGTCCCTTTACTAGCAGGTTGTTTTATTATGACAAAGATTTCAATTTTATCTGTTCTCGTGGATGTGAGGATTTATTTGTGCAAGGTGCCAGAGCACTTGAGAAATGATGAGAATAGTTCAAGAGAATAAAATGTCTGCCTCTCAAAGGAAGGAGGGCAGAATGAATTCAGACATGAACTGGTTACAGAGAATAAACAGTGAAAGAAACCATGATGGGGATTTAGGTCACTAGGTCGAATCAACAGGTCAAAGAGGGCTATCAATGAGAGAATCCTAAATAATAGTTATTATTGACGAAGAAGAGTCAGTGACCACTACTCTGATGATCAATAATTTCAAGCAGTGCAGTTAGGGATTTATTGAGCATTAAAATTCTTGAAATAAATAAGAAAGGAATGAGCATTTCTACTTTGTAGTTGAAGTTGGGCCTATATCTGAACTCAAACCTTATTTGGGTTGTCTCTTTAATTTTGGGCTATTCCTTTGCGCTCAGGTGTGGGCCTAGAAATATGTTGTGGGGGAAATTTTGGGTCTGTACTATTCCTTGGCATAGATGAAATAGCTCATTCACCACATCTCAGCATGCTTGTCCAACCAATGTTAGTTTGATAAATTGGCTAGAGAGTCCTTCCTGTGAGGGTCTCAGCGTCACCTGCTGCAAAAGCAGCTGGGATTTTAGGCAGCTGTAGCTCAAACTTCCCTTGTAATATTAAGGATGCACAGCACTGAGGTGTTAGTTTTGGGCTGAAGTTTATTTTCAATGCCTCAGATATGGGTATAGACGTAGGTTCTAGCAAACAATCCACAAAACCAATTAAAAGCAGCCTTGGAAGCAGTCTAATGTGGCCTAAGTAGGCCCACTTCTGTGTGGGTTCAGATGTCCTCTTCTGTTCTCTGCCTAAATCCAACTACCAGTAGAAAACTACTGAAAGGAGCCTGGTTTTTTAGGAAAACATGTTGGGTGAACACTGTCATGGGAAGTAGAGAAGAACCTAATGAATTTCTGAGATCAGCAAGTTTAGACAGTCCTAAAAAATAAGCAGAGTAGCTGGGCAGTGTGTGTAGTTACATATCTAAATTTAAGACAGATGAGATTTAAGTGGATCCTGCCTCCTTCCTCTTTTGGAGTTGCATATTTAAATACAAAATTTTCTTTTGTTGACAGAGCAAATTATGATTATCAGAAGGAACAAAGTCTGTTAGAGCAGACTGGATGGCCATGGAAAACCTGTGTTCCTAACTTTTCACTATCTTGCAATGGAATGGAAATACCTTTTTTTGGAACCTGTGATAGACTTGATATACAATAGGCCTTTCAAATAATTAAACAATTGTCCTAGTCGTGATTTTTAAAAACAAAATTTTCTCTTCTGTGTTGACTTCAACAAAATTATATGCACTTTTCAAATAGATTCTTCATCACAGTGTAATTCTGTAATGCCTCCAAAATGTCCTCATGGATAAAGCAGTATGAAGACATAGTCAAGATTTAGCTACATCTTTAAGGCTGGGGATGAAGAGTAAAGAACTGCAGGCAGGAATGATGAAGCTCAAGGGTTTTATTTTAACAGAAATTTGCCCTCCCACCTCAAGCTGTGTAAGCTTGTTTTTGCTTCTGAACTTTATTACTGTATGCCCACCCAGTGTGAAAGAATCAAGAATTTGCATATCCTCCATGTTACAGTAATGTTAATGAGTATTGCCTACATGCTTCACATCACTCAAATGCACTGAGACAGGAATTTTGGCAGGATGCATGTGGTATTTTTGCAAGTAACATACCAGTGTTCACATGCAGTTTTACATGCATGTACTGCATCACCAGCAGTGTGACCAGCAGATCAAGGGAGGGGATTCTGCCCCTCTACTCTGCTGTCATGAGACCCCCCTGCAGTGCTGCGTCCAGCTCGGGGGTCCCCAGCACAAGAAGGACATGGAGCTGTTGGAGTGAGGCCAGACGATGCCACAAAGATGCTGCAAGGGCTGGAGCACCTCTGCTATGGAGACAGGCTGAGAGAGTTGGGCCTGTTCAGCCTGGAGAAGAGAAGGCTGCGGGGAGACCTTGGAGCCCCTTCCAGTCCCTGCAGGGGCTCCAGGAAAGCTGGAGAGGGGCTGGTGCCAAGGGCAGGGAGGGACAGGCCAAGGGGAATGGCCTGAAGCTGCAGGAGGGGAGATGGAGATGGGATGGGAGGCAGAAATCCTTCCCTGTGAGGGTGCTGAGGCCCTGGCCCAGGGTGCCCAGAGAAGCTGTGGCTGCCCCTGGCTCCCTGGCAGTGTTCAAGGCCAGGTTGGATGGGGCTTTGGGCAACCTGGGCTAGTGGAGGGTGTCCCTGCCCATGGCAGGGGGTTGGAACTGGATGATCTTTGAGGTCCCTTCCAACTCAAATCATTCTGTGATTCTATGTGCTTATGAGAAACATGGGTGAAAATACACTTCTAAGCAATTATTTGGTTAAAGATTCAAAGGTTGTGTCAAAACTATATGTTGAAAGGGCGTCCTCACAATGGACGAAGGAGCACTTCTTGACTCCTTGCTGTAGGCTCCCTCTCATCTGCTCCCTGATTGTTGGGATGAGCCATGGGCATACACTGTCCCCCTTATACATGCTCTGACTTCTTTGAGGAGGAAACCTGAGCATCAGGGATTGCTGATATTCTCTCGTTATGCTCTTGTTTTGGACAACGATGGGATCACAGCTGCAGTTCGTACCATGCAACTTAGGCAGGGTGATGTGTAAAAAATATCTCACCCTATATCAATTGACTAGACCTAGGGCCATAATTACTGGAGAACTTCCCCGACTTATCTGAGATAAAATAGTGACATCAGGTACACTCTAGTTTAAATCACCATTAGGTCAGTGATATGCGAGTGACTGAAAAATTTCTCTCAAATGAGAATTCTAGATTATTCTTTCTGCAAAACTGGAGGGAATTTCAAGAGAGGTCCTTACAGCAGTTTGCCACCAGCCTAATTTAGCTGAGGAACCCAAGTCTAATAGCCATAGCTATTTCTGTAGTCAGGGGAGAATGACTGTAATTTGATCAGCAATTTATATCTTCTGTGGGCTGAATTGTCCTCAGGAGATGCCTGCCTCTTTCCATGGTCTCCAGGAGGAGTCTAGGCTCCTAATTTATGCAGCTTGCTTGAGCGCCTGAATTAGAAGGAGAAATTTTGGTCATTACTTCTGTGGTTTTGGTGCATTACAGAGACAGGAGTTGGTCAAAATAAGTTACTTTAATTTGAAGCTAATCTCTGAAGTTTCAAAGAAAGAATATGCCTTTGTGAGCCAGAAGAGACTGCTTTGTTCTTCTAGTTGTACTTTGAAGCAATGTTTCTGTAATTTTTTAACCCATCATATCTGCAGTGTTATCCATAGAAAACCCATCATGGATCATTGATTTCAAGTGTAATTAATATTTAGCTTATTTGTACTGCTTTTTATTTCAAATGTTTTTGTAAGGGAATAATAAAAGGAAGTGTGTTATCACTGAAGGAGAAAATACATTGCCCGTGATCAGGGATAAGCTAAACAATACCAGAGTGTACATGACGTTTCAGTTTTGGTAGTCTTCCAGATTGTAGCTAACATGTCTTAACTATTTAAGCCATCAGAAAATTGTGAATGTTATTCTTGTTTGTTCCTTCCTTCTGGGTTTCATACAATGTGCTTGATTCCTATTACCAGGAGAGTTTTGCTAATTTACACCTGTTGACAGTCTGCTGTCCTTTGATAATTGGCCACGTGGGTGAATGACTCCCAAAATTTTGTCTGAACATCAAATATCTGCATGCATAAATTGTTAAACCAAAGCATTTTTCCTCCTGTATAGCATATAATTTAATCCATTATTACTGCCACCTTTAAAGACTGCCTATGCCTGAAAGCAGAAAATTAAATAACTGTTTGCCATTAATAAAAATTGTTGTGTTTTGACAGCTTGCTAATCAACTAAAGTGAAAATGGTGCTGTGCAAATAGTGCAGTTGCCTTTCAAGTAACTTTTTTTTTAGGTGCACAAGAATTCTCCTTCTTTGGGCCTTTGAACCCTTATAGGACTTGTCCTCTGTGATATATTAATATTCAGAAGCATAAATAAAGCTTTATTTGAGTTGTGCTCTGATGCAGAATGGATTTCTCTGTATAGTTACTCTATACATAATCTTGGGAAACCTTTGACCCTCACATGCTGGCTGTAGATGTTACTTCCACTATGGACTGTATGAATTAATGTGCGTTGAGCAGATTTTGACATAATGATATGCACTTTATGCAATATTCAGGTATGGGCTGTTTCTGGGGAGCTGAGAGGAAGTTTTGGAGACAGAAGGGAGTCTACTCCACTCAAGTGGGTTATGCTGGAGGGTATACTCCAAATCCTACCTACAAAGAAGTCTGTTCAGGTAAGTCTTCCTCTTGGGTTTTTAAGGATTGTGAGTAGAATCCTGTCAGATTATGGGTGACAACGAAGGGTAAAATGGGTGACTGCAGCAACTAAAGAAATTGGCTATCTAGTCAACCCTGGTACCAGCCTTGCATCCTACACTGTAATGGAATCTATGGTATGTCCATCCCATTGTCATCTCCTAATAATTAATGAGTTAATATATGTAGAAATATTCTGAGGAAAAAGAAAAAATAATTTCTTCAGGAAATGAATTCTCTTTCAAATTATGCAAATGTCTTCCTTAGAAAAAGCATGAGTTTTTGTTTTACTTTTGTCTGTATCTGAGCATGAACAAAACTCAGAAAGCACACATTCTGCCTTTTTCTTTGCATATAACCAGGAGGTTATATGGAAAAGTCTAAATTTCTCATTTGCGTTAAATTTTTATACAGTTCAGTGCACAGCATCCTATCATTTCCATGCCAAACCCTTGCATTTATTTTTCATTGCACTCTTATACTAATCCTTCTACAGTACTAATAGCCCAATACAGTTTCTTTCTGCAATCTAAAACATAGAACCACTGGCAGCCAACTGGCTAATGTTGCTGTTAAAGAAAATTTGTGCTTTCCTATACTCGCTGGTGGAGAACAGCTTGGAGGTTTTCTTTTGGTTTATTTTCTTGTTAACACTTTTTATGCCAAATGCTGAAGTTGATATACTGTTCTGACTGACAATCTAAGGCTTGATGAAAAGAGTGAAAAAAGTTCAGTGGCACAAACAAATAACGGACACTAGCAACTGTGCAGAAGTGCTGCGAGACACCCAAAACCCTAGAAACTTTCTGGAAATAGTAAAAAATGTGAAAAGAGATGTTTTAATGTGGTATTCTATAGACAACACTGAAGTCATAAGACATTGCCTTATAAATGCTAAAGAAAACATATAGATTAGGGAGAATTTCTGGTGGGAACTTACAGCAGTATGCATGCTCCTGAGTGCAAATACCTAGTTTATAGAAATTTAAAAATATCTAGAACAAAAAAACCTCAATACCATGCCGTTAGCATTAACTGATGCATAGATACCCAGAATTCCTGCAAAATGTAGCAATAAGAAGCTTCATCTATGGAAGGATCAGTGATGCCCGTCTTATTTATCCAAATGTTCCATTACTTCCTAATACTCCTGCACTCTTGTATTTTGTAATTTCATCTTTTGCCTGCAGTATCTCTAACTTTTATAAGCATACATGGCCCAACACCTGTCTGGTAATTATTGTCCACTCTGTTTAATGGCCTGGGTATTGAATAATTATATTAGTATATAGAACAGGAATGTGCAGCACAACTTCTCTTTCCCAACGCACTCATGATTCCAGTACACCGAGGGTAGTTGTGATAGACTGTTGAGTGTTTCTCCAAAGATACTGAGTGCGGGCTGTTGGCCAGGGAGAGAAGTGAACACGGACAAGATGGTGTAGCCAGGGAAGTAGAAAAAAGTTACCATCTCTTTTAATTGTGTGCAGTATAGGCTGGTTTTATATTTCAGAATAGCTCCATAGTATTGTGAGCTTTGCGTTTGAGATCATTTGAAAGCTTTTTGTTGCTACTTTCTGTGTTGTATTTTATCAATAGTGTATAAAAATAAAAATGGTAATTAAATAATAAGAATCCTGGAATAGAGAAATGGGAAAAATCTTTGACATCTATTTTCTGATAGGTTTTTTTTTAGTTAGATTTTTTGTGCAAAACCACAGCTGAGGTTGTTTTTCTAGTGCTTGTTTTTATACACATTTGTATTATGGATTTTTATATGCCTCCAGATGCTGGACAGAGGAGGATTTTTTGCTCAGAGATATCCAGAAGTATAAGCACATATTTCGTCGCCTTGTCTGTGTGAACATAAATGGGATGTGTATGTGTTACACATTTCATTTCCTAGTTGTGCAGCTGAGCTGAGTTGGAGAATTTACTGATTTCTGCATGCTATTTTCTTCCTACTTAGCTTCCTCTAGCTGTGTCTTATTCTGATTTTATTCTGATTTTTTTTTTTGGCAGGGTTTTTTTTTTTCATCTTTGAACATACTTTTTGGAAGTCTCTTTAAAGAGAGCTCTCACAAGCTCCCCTAAGATATTGCCATCTGGCTGTCTCTAGTTGCCATAGTTTTCACTGGGAAGAACAGTTCTTATGAAATAGTAGACTTCAGTTATGCACTGTGTGATTGCCACTTTCTTATTCGTCTGTTCTGGCAAGATCATATCTATAGTAAACACTTAACAGTCAAGTCCTCTAAATCCAGCTCTAGAAAGGACACCAGGGCTATCTAAACAGTATCCACTTGGCAAGTCTTTGAGCTTTGTTTTCAGGCCATGCAGTCCTGGAAGTCTGTGCAGGAGAGTTATTTCAGTCCAATGCTTTTCCGCCACTCTACTCTGAAGAAAAAAACCCAACAATTCTTTGGATGAAACATTTAGCACTTCTGCTAAAAGCACATTGTCAGCTAGACCTCAGGCAAAATGATGTGGATTTACTCTTTCTCGCCTGCTAAGGTCACTCAAAATGTATCAACTAATGGTGGTGGTTTTTATTCAATTGCCTAAATGTAGGATTTCATGCCATTTGAGATGTTTGAGAATATCCTATGTGCCATGCTATAGTCACATCTGACAGTTTTTCATGGATGCCCTTGGACATCTCAAAAGTAACTGGATGCCTATATGTGAACAACTAATTCAAATCTAAGGTATCTATCTGTACTTTCGCTATCCATAATTCTATCTGGAGCTAAGGACATGGGCCATGCACTGTTGATTTATGTGCATACATGCTGCTACATGATGTGGAGACAGGGGAGTGTGTGCCTGCTGAGGCATAAGATTTTCCAGTCTCTTGTTTTCGGATGTTCTTGGATGCATGCACAGTTTTGAGTGTATCTATATCTGATCCATGCATGTTATATATCATAGAGTCATAAAATCCTAGAATGGTTTAGGTTGGAAGGGACCTTTAGAGATGATCTTGTTCAAACCCCCATGCCATGGGCAAGGATATCTTTCACTAGATCAAGTTACTCAAAGCCCCATCCAACCTGACCTTGAATACTTTCAACGATGGGACTTCCACAGCTTCTCTGGGCAACCTGTGCCAGTGCCTCACCACCCTCACAGTAAAGAATTTCTTCCTAGTATTTAATCTAAATCTACCCTCCTTCAGTTTAAAGCCATTCCCCCTTGTCCTGTCACTACAGACCTTGGTATAAGGTCTTCGTCCATCTTTCTAATAAGCGCCTTTCTGTATTGAAAGGCTGCTATAAGGTCTCCCCAGAGCCTTTTCTTTTCCAAGCTGAACAACCCCAACTCTCTCAGGCCATCTTCACAAGAGAGGTGCTCCAGCCCTTGGATCATCTTCATGGCCTCCTGTGGACTTGCTCCAACAGCTCCATGTCTGTCTTGTCCTGAGGACCCCAGAGCTGGATGCAGGACTGCAGATGGGGTCTTACAAAAATGAAGTTGAGGGGTGGAATTGCTGCCCTCAACCTGCTGACCCTGCTTCTTTTCAGGCAGCCCAGGATACAACTGGCTATTTATCTGGACTGCAAGCTTACATTGTTCGCTCATACCTAATTTTTCATCTACCAATATCCCCATGTCCTTCTCTTCAGGGCTGTTCTCAGTCCGATCACCCACTCTGTGCTGATACTGTTGATTGCCCTGACCCATGTGTAGGACCTTGTGCTTGGCCTTGGTGAACTTCATGAGGTTCACATTGGCCCACTTCTCAAGCCTGTCAAGGTACCTCTGGATGGCATCCCTTCCCTCAAGCATACCACCTGCACACTCAACTTGTATTACTCGCAAACTTGCTGCGGGTGCACTCACTCCCATTGTCCACCTCATTAATAAAGATATTGAACAATACAGGTCCCAATACAGACCCCTGAGGGACACCACTTGTTACTGATCTCCGTTTGGTCATTGAGCTGTTGACTGCAACTCCTCAGATGCAGCCATTCAGCCAATTCCTTATCCATTGAGTAGTCCATCCATCAAACCAATATCTCAAATTTAAAGACAAGGATGTTGTGTGGGACCATGTCAAAGGCCTTACAAGATAGATGATATCTGTTGCTCTTCCCTTACCCACTCCCACAGTCACTCTATGGTAGAAGGTCACCAGAATAGCGAGGCAATTAATCAATCAGGCTTTCTGCTTGAAAAGCTGATATGTCTTACACTGCAAGAAATAAATTTCCTGCTTGCTGATATACCAGCAGCCAAAAGTGACAGGAATATATTCATGCACACTGGCTTACAGAGTCCACAAAGGTTTTTGTCTTGTATGTTTAGGAAGTTCCATAATAATCTTAAGTAATATCTTGTTCAGAGACCTCTGAGGAAAACACTGCCTTAAATATAGTTGAACTTAAAGTCTACAGTAACATGGCTATGTGTTTAAATACCTGTGAATTGAGGAATTACTGAGATGGAGGCTTGGAGCATTTTGACTGCAATTTGATATTCTGCTTCAGTCTTTATCCTGAAGCTGGAGAGGGACTGTTTACAAGGGCATGTGGTAGTGATAGGACAAGGGGTAACGGCCTTAAGCTGAAGGAGGGGAGATTTAGATTAGACATTAGGAAAAAATTCTTTATGACAGTGGTGAGGCACTGGACATTTGGTAGTCTTGAGTAAGTATCTTGTATAGAAAACAAGAAAATGCTTAGAGTTTCTTTCTTTTCTTCATGCTTTTTAGTGTATTTTCTAGAAAGGAAATGTTGTGTTGCTTCAAGTGAATACAGGTCTGCTTTCTATATCAGTGGTGTTCCAGTCTTCTACTGTGATCTTCATTTGATGGACCTCACTGGGAGGAAAAGTGATCTGCAGATCTACTATTAAGCTATTTTGGGGAACACCATTGCTCTTATAGCAGCCAGGTGATGGCTGTACTATTACAACACTGTGTTGGTACCCCATGAAAACTTAAGCCTCTAAGGGCAAACGTCCAACCTCATAA